TTTTAAAAAATCAAGACAACGAGGTGATCGATTTACGAGGCGAGCCAGTATCAATACGATTATTAATTCAAGACTTGTAGTATGGGACTGCAATTTTATAATATAAATACGTATGCATATGAAAAACCCGTTAGTCGTGTTCATAACACTAACAAGTTAACATCTCTAAAGAAAAATTCGAGACGAAAACAAGTTGGTCTAACAGCTGATAATTTAGCTTTTCTACGCTCACTAAAGGCTATTTAATATGGATGACACTTATTTAAATGTCACTGCTGGTTACGTGGATGATTGTAAAATAACTCAAATTGACTATCATTCTTTTTTACCTTATTCGACATCCGCTCTTTCAAATAACGATGAGGTGCGTATTGCTTTACATAACACAGAGTCTTATACTTTACCGTGTGAAAGTTATATTTACATCGAGGGATCAATAACCAAACCTGCAGAAATAACTGACGAGATTAGATTTATAAACAATGGACTGTCATTTCTTTTCTCTGAAATGAAATATGAAATAAATGGTAATCAAATTCAGAAACTCGTTAATCCGGGTATATCGACCACATTAAAAGGATATTGTTCGTATAATAAAACAAATATTACTTCACACCACAACTCTGCTTGGGATAGTGATATTAAAAATGCTAATAAAGATTTTATTGATAACAACAATTTTAATGGGTGTATTAATCTTAAAGATTTGTTTGGTTTTTGAGAAGATTATAAACGTATTTTAATAAACTGCAACCAACAACTCGTATTAAATAGAGCCTCGATCGATATTAATGCTATAAAACAGTTTAAAAATAATGAAGTTGTCACAGACGCAAATAAACTAAAAGACGTTAAAATAAACATAACAAAAATATTGTGGAGAATGCCTATAGTGAAAGTGAGTGATAGAGAAAAAATTAGACTGTTGAAAGTAATCAACAATCAAAAACCCATAACATGTGCGTTTAGATCGTGGGAACTATGCGAATATCCATTTTTACCTCAAAACACTTCGCATTCATGGAAAGTAAAGACATCCAACAAATTGGAAAAACCTAGATATGTTATCATCGGCTTTCAAACTGATAGGAAAAATAGCTCGAGTAAAGCAATGTCATACTTCGACCATTGTAAAATTAAAAACTTGAAGGTCTATTTAAACGCAGAAGTATTTCCCTATGAAGATTTTCAAATCGACTTCACCAAAAATAAGATGGCAACATTATACCGAGCGTATGCAGAGTTCCAAAAATCTTACTACGGACATGACGAAGTGACACCTCTATTAAACCGATCAGATTTCAAAAATCTGTCTCCTCTTATAGTTGTTGACATGAGCCGGCAAAACGACAACGTGAAAATGTCAACTGTAGACCTTAGAATTGAACTAGAAACTGACGAGGCGTTTCCAGCTTCCACCTCTGCATATTGTTTAATATTACACGACCAAATTATATCTTATAATCCATTTAACGGAGAAGTAAGAACCTTGTAAATATTTAATGTATAACTTAATATAAATGTAAACCTTAATATTTATAAATGTAAATCTTAATATTAATAAATGAAAAATACTTTTTTATATATCATGTTTTTTTTATTATTTTACATAAATTATTGATCTCAAACAAAATGATTAAAAAAGTCTACGTTTTACTTTACGTAATGGTGTTGGGTGTTCGACAAAGGTGGCTCGATTTGATGGCGAGGGAGTATGAAATCCATTGTAAAAATCAGGTCCATCATTTACGTCGACCGATTGTTGTTGATTAGAAATCTCGTCCGGTATCCGTGGGCCGTCAATATGATCTAGCGCCTGGAAAAATAAATAAAACATTAATATTGTTTTTATTTTTAAAAATATTTTTATATAAATTACCTCTAACTGTCTAAGTGTAGCGTATGTAGGTGGATCGTTATGTACGTTGAATTTGTTGGTGACCGGTGAATAGCTCGGTGATAATGGTGAATCCATATAAATTACCTTAGCAAAATTAATATCGTCGTCGTCCGATTGATTAAACCCATCACGTCCATTGTGATCTCCGTACAATCTGGAAATAGGGGTGCTTGCTGGTGAAAAGTTGGGTGACAAAGATGAACACCTTCGGAAATTCGTGTCATATGACTAAAATCAAATAAAAAGTATTAAATATTTTATATATTATGAAATAATAAATATATTTGAATTACCACTTGTGAGTTTTGTGTCTTCAATCGAGTCATACAGAGTTCAGCTAATTGTGTAGACGCAAACATCTTGATTTGACTGAGGTATTGATTTTGACTGCTCTGCTTGTCTTCTTCGTTATTAATAAAAATTAGCATTTCATGCACATTTTGAGGTTTCGGTGAATCCACTTGTAAAAATTGTTTAGCCAAATAGTCGCAATATTGATTCATCTCTTTGATGATTTTGGGTTTGATGAATACAACTTTTTCCCCTATACTTGCAGAAATACTCCATTCTAATCTCTGAAGCTGTATTAGATCTGCGCGATTCAAAAGTATTCTACACCCGTCTTCAGTTTTAGATTCTATTACTAAAACATTTATTCCTCCATACACCATACTCGATAATTTATAAAAATCAGTCTCGAGAAATATGGTTCGTTTATAGGACTGTGGTATGTCTAATATAAATGATAGTACGTTACCCATTAGCGAGAATATTCGTTTTAGAAAATCTGTTGACAATTTCACGTGACGAGAAGAAGTCAATAAATGAATTACTGTCTGAAAATTGTCAGTCGGATCGATTCCAACAAGTAAAAATTTGCGTGCTGTAAAGTCCAACGTGAAGGATGTAGAATCTAGTAAGGGAGCCGGAGCTGACGGAGGAACGTACGCGAACGTCTTCTTTTTGTATATGGCAGCGTTGTCAATGATTGAACCAGCCATCTTATTAATGATTTTTAAACTTGTAAAATAAACACTAAAAATGTATTGCGACTTGAAGAAATAAAAAAAGAAATAAAAATGTACGTGGAGTATAGCATAAGACTGAAAACACACTGAATGAATATCCACTCTTCCAAAGCCAAGCGTCCAACGATTTGAGTCATTATTAGGTAGGGGTGAATACATCATAAGAAGAGAAAATGATACACCTGCCAATGTATCAAGGTTTGGCTACACATTCTCAACCCTTGATGAAGAATGTTATTGTTAGATTAATAATGTATGGGGTTTATCGAGACCCATGTCTTGTTATATTAAGTGATGGCCTCAAAAAGGTAAGGATTAAATATACAAAGGTTTGAATACACAAAGGTTTGGTTATACATTTTCAACCCTCGGTGAAGAATGTTATTGTTAGATTATCACCAGATGTTGTTTGTCAGAACACACACGTCGTTACATGTATATTCCTGAAGATTGTACAAGTATATTATTTTTAAATGTAATAGAAATAAAATCGAGTGTTAAATGTATCAAGGAGTTATTACAACGGCAGGTGTGTACAATAATGAATATTATAATTCCTATTAATGATAGGAATCTCTCTATTGGTATATCGGTTTTGTGGCTGAGTTGGTTAAAGCGCCGTCTTTGTAAGACGGAGGTCGAGAGTTCGATCCTCTCCTAAACCTTTTTTCAATATTTATTTTTCAAAATAATGGTCACAATAATAATATTATGGTGTGTGTACAATAATATGTTACACGTACGATAATATGGTATGTCCGTCAAGTGAGCGATCAGGCCGCGGAGGTGGCGGTGGTAGGAAAAGTATGTGGTGTCGGGGTGGGTTGGGTAGGTGGTGGGTGGGGTGAACAAAATATATGCCGTGCACGTACGCGATCGGGCGGCGGAGGCGGAGGTGGGGATTTGGGGCGGCGGAGGTGGTGGTGGAGATTTGGGCGGCGGAGGTGGAGATTTGGGCGGCGGAGGTGGAGGCGGAGGTGGGGAGATGTGTCCCAGGATCGGCTTTCTCATACTACTTATATAAGCTTCTATAAATTCTTAAATAAATGTATTTTTGTTCAATATTTAGTTAGTGCGTAGGCCCGTGTGCTGCATAGCCACTACTGATAGAAGAAATATGCCCACAGGCAAAGGAGTAGGACAATATTGTGTTCTGGAAATATTTTGGCAGGCTCAGAAGAGAATTCATGACAGGCTTTTACTGGTCTAGTCAAACTATTGCTAGTAAATTAAATTCCTGTAAACGGCACTCATTGGTAGGTACTAACTACGACTGAAAATGTTTTCCCTTTGACAATTTACTTTGAATAAAAATTCAAAAAATAACTATTCGGAACAAATAATAATGTCACATTTAGATCTCCATCACTAAATCCAGCTCCGTAGCTAGATAACCTGGGTTTATTTTATTGTAAATTTTACCTACCTATAGTATTAATATTTGTATTGTATTAACAGTTATTATCAGGAAACAACCATACATTTTGTTCAGTTGTGAATACAAGGATATATGTATACACTGTCTGTAACAGGAACAAATAAACAAATGAACCTACAAATTAATTAACTTTTATTCTGACCAATATGTTTTTTTTTTTATATAATTTACAGACGCTTGTGATTCAAGACGTATGGCATGACATTTTTTTTTTTTAACAGAAACAAAAAATTTTTTTAAATCTGGCTTTTAGAAAGGTGTATATTGTAAAAGCATTTTTTTTTGTTATGTGGGTATCATATGTAAATGAAAATAATTAATATAAATGTAATGAAAATATAGTGAAATAATAAATATAAATGGAGCCAAATATGTATTGACACGTACCTCGCTGGTGTGGGACGATGGTCCTGGGTGTAGTAGACACTTGAGTGCGGGTACGTGACGAAGAAAGAAAATAAAAAAAAACACTGAGGGTGTCGAGTTAAGTCCACGGGTGGAACGTTTATTTCACAATCGTGATACAGGTTTTAAACAAAATAGATAAATATGTGGTAGTCGTGACCGATGACGTTTTGTGTGTATGCGGTTGACGTACCGGGCGAGAAACTGAAACCGGTGGCTACGGAGGACGTTCGCCGTCCGGGCGCTTTTCAGCGCTGGTGGCGTCCGGTGAGCTGGTGGCTGTCTAGAGAAGCCGAGTCGCGGTTGCCGCGCCAATAACAGTTTGAATTCAAACAGCATAAGCGCGGGACCGCGTCAGTATAACAATTCATCAATTGAGAACGGTTTGGCCGATTTGGCTCATATGTTTTTAATTGTTCGTAATTACCAGGAGAAGGTTTTTACGAAAATTTTTTTTGGAAAAACCCTGTTTTAAAATTTTTTTGATGATTAATGTTTTGAGTTCCGGAATGTTTTTTCGAATTGAAAAAGCTACAGCAAGCTTTAGCTTATAAAATTATCCATATGACATAATTAATCGTTAAAATGGGGCCCCTGACCAATAACAAAAAAATGGATCAACATGGAGAAATATGTCGTGTATTGAATATTATGTATGTATAGTAAAGTTTAAATTTTGTAAAGTGATAATTTTCGAATCTTTTTTATTCCGTTCGATTTTATTTATAGCCGTAATATTCTCTTTACATAGAACGCAATAGTCGATAGTAGAGATAAAATTTATGTTTTATCTATATTAAATATGATTATTCAATTATTACGACTTCATTTTACATTTTCCGTTGTTGGGGTTACCAGAAAATCTGCTCGAGTATAATTTTAGTTTATTTTATTTTACTTATCTAACAAGACGCAATCCTGGATGGTTTTGATTTACAATTTAACCCGATAGGTTCGCCCGGGGAGTTGCTCAAACAGAGATTTTGAGATTTAAGAAGAAAATATTTGTTTATATACGGTTGATATTGGTTATAGGAGAAATATAAATATATTTAGTAGAAATGGTTATTTTTTTTTTGTTTATTGTTTTCCTGCAGTGGTTCATCGTGCAGATAAGGTTTAAGCATACATACAAATTAATTTTGAAAACAATCAAATCACATTGCCTACCAAGGTGGCTGAGTTGCGCTTATAGCTGCTCACTGGCGTGTCCACAATCAAAATAAATATAAAAATTATTGTTTTAATAATGCACAGCAGGTATAGGTATAATATAGTGCTTGCATTATCACCATCGAGTCTCATATAGAGTTGGCATTTCTACGTGGTTACAAAGTGCTCGGGATCAGCTAGTTGTTTATAATGTTTTCAACAATTATTATAATGATAGGTAAAGTTGATCCAGGTATGATAATCTGTCAGGGAACGTAATCAAATTAGTTAAAGACTTAAATGCCAAGTGTGGAAGGGAGATACAATTTAGCCCAACTAAAGGTAGTGAAAGCATACATGAGACAAGTCTCATAAGACTAAGGCTCATATTCTTTGAAGCGGCAAAGAATATGACAATAAGTAGCATAACGTTTCCGGACGGAATAACAACTAATCATATAGATCACATACTCATTCAAAAGAGATTTCGATCATGCATAAAAGACATATGAAGCTATAGAGGAGCTGACTGCGATACAGATCCCTTCATAGTAGTGGCAAAGTTCGAGCTAAAGCTACAGAGTCGAAAACAATTGGAAAAGGGACCTAGCAGAAAGATAAACCTAGAGATGCTAAAGGATGAGGAAATCCAGCAAAAGTACTCAAAAAGTATCGGTGAATATATAAAAAGTATGGAATTGAATAGCATAGATAAAAACGGGGACAAAGTTAGCTAAAGCCATTAAACAAATTGCAGTAGAAAACATTGGGATGATAAGAAACAAGAAGAAAAAATGGTATAATGAAAACTGTCGAAAAGCAATAAGAAAAAGACAAACTGCCCGTGAGAACTATATTAAAGAAGATAGTACAGATACAAAAAGAGTATACATTTTAGAGAGGAAGATAGTAGTAAGATAAGTACTCCAAAGAGAAAAAAGAAAGTATCTAAGTGAAATATTGCAAGAGGCAGAAAGAAATTGCTCTATGGGAAGTGTTAGAAATTTCTTTAAGACCATAAAATAATACAAAACGTTCAACCCAAGTCTAAAAACTATTAAAAATCGTCATGGCGTAATCTCATGGATCCTAATGAAAAAGCCAATAGATGGAAGGAATGCTTAACTGAACTATTGAACGCAGATATCCCAGATAACTCGATGAGGAGGAAAAACATACATGGAGTAGAACCAATGGTAAGTGAAGTGACTCGAGAAGAAGTAAATGAAGAAATAAAAGACCTAAAAAATTGGAAGTCACCAGGATCAGATGAAATACCAGCTGAACTCATCAAATATGGTGGAAAAGAGATGCAAAACCTTCTTTTTAGGATTTGTCAGAAGATATAAAAAGATGAGAGCATGCCAAAAAGCTGGAACGAAGCCACAGTGGTACCGATCTAGAAAAAAGGTGACAAATCAATCTGTGAAAACTATAGAGGATCATATATATCACTATATCACTGCTTAACTCAGCTTACAAAGTATGTGCGAGAATAATATTAAAACGACTAACGCCGTACGCAGAAGAAAACTTAGGCAGATACCAGTGCGGATTCCGAAAAGGGAAATCAACAATAGAGCAACTCACTATCATAGGCCAACTAATAGAAAAAAGTATGAATTCCACCAAAACATGTGGCAGCTATTTGTTGATTACGATAGTATAAACCGACAAAGACTCTACAACATAATGGAGGAGTTCGGGATCCCACAAAAATTAGTAACTCTAACCAAACTGTGCATGGAAAAGTATAAAATAAGGGTCGAATCCACGCTGTCAGAAGCCTTTGAAGTAAGAACTGGCTTAGAACAGGGAGACTCACTATCACCTACCCTATTCAATATAGCTTCAGAAAAAGTTATAAGGGAATTACAGTCAGAAACAACTGCGCCGGTATTCTGTAAAAATGTATAAACAATTAGATACAAGGCTACAAGCTTGTATCTGTAGTCAATAATAGTATTCAAAAGCATTCTGTAATAANGGTTACTTTAAGTTTGGCCGGGAATACTACGATATTATCTACAAATTATTTTCCACCTTTAAACCTTTATGAGGATTCAGAAATAGCTTTGTTATGTTTACAAACATTTAATTCATTCCCCAATATTAATGGAAATAATAATAAATTAGGTATACAAGTACTTGATCATAATAATAATAATGATCTTATGACTCGATGGTTAGAAGGTAAAAGGGCGTAAGCGCCACTTTTTTCAAAATCGATGTTTTTGCATATTGTTGTAAACGGCATTATTATACATCGATTTATCGAACCTAAACATCGCTATCATTTGTATTCATCCGAGAATCGATGTTTTAATATGTGGGCGTAAACGGCATAGAATTGGTGGGAATGAAAAAACTGGGTGTAAGCGTCAACTAAAAGATGTAAACGGCATTAAAGGAAACCTGATAAAACGTAAGCGTCATTGTTGACGGTTACGTCAATTTATCATTTTTGTTAGTGGTTTTGTCAGCACTGTAAAAAGCGTTAAGCGGCATGATAATACAATAAACGTTTGGTTCGTTTGAACAGAACAGTAAAACTGATAGGTACCATAAACGGTCAAACACCCAAACATCTCAAACACGAAATCGAAATTGATATAAATATTAATTTGTAAGTAGATATTATTTAGTTGTTTGAATGATTAAACTCATTCA